GCGGAATGAGCTAAGTCTTGGAAAGTGCCTAGTTGCTCAAATATGTTATGGCATTAAGGTATAATTAAAGCTACAGCTAAAATAAATTAATTCTCAATTATAAGGGAGATGGTTATGATCAAATAGGTAACAGTAGCTTAACATGGTTGAGTTGCCATAAGCAAAGGGTGGAAAGGTTCCTAGATGGAACACATGTATGGCCCAAAGCTATTATGGCAATGGAGCAGGTGAGACAAAAGTGCCTAGAATAGGATATTCCAGATGTGAGGATCATTTATGATGAGTGAGCATGGTGGAGGCTGAGGCATGGGTATTCCTTGTCACACAGAGGACACATTGTCCTGCTCTAGATGTGGGAGACAATAAATTGTAGTAGTCTGCCATGTAGTGCATTCAAGTGAGTTCTCTGAAACAGAAGCATTTACAGGGAATGTTGCAGAGCGTGGGTGTCACTGCAAGCATATGCCATTCTAGTTGGGGATTACACTCAGGTTGGTGGAGTGAGTAGAGGCTATAGGTAACAGTAAATGTTAGGAGTACTTAAGGGAGGAATAGAAGTGTAAGAAGTGACACAAATTATATTAGGAATGGCCTGAGAATTGTGTAGGGAATATTAACTTTGGGAGAGGAGCACGAGTTTTTGGCGCTAAAGATAAGCCTAGTTTTGGTCGTATGGAAGATTGGGAGATGCCTGCTGAATATTGCTTACTGGACAGACTTGCTTGGACTGAAAGATATGTTAGTTGTGAGGTCGATGCCTGAACGGTGTTTGGTTCCCATTTGGACAGGGCCTTGAATATTGTTGATGCGGCAGGAAATATGGGTTTAGAGGATGATTGGGAGCAAATGGTAACATAGTAGTGGTAGATGTTACATGTTTTCAAGTTGTATGGGGGGACCGCCTCATTGCTTCCAGATTTGGCCATATATTTGGCTTTAGAAGGTGGAAAATTGATATATGCAGTGAAGGGAATGGTGGGATGAGCAGAGGCAAGGGCTAGATGAGGAGTTTGCAAGGATGGAAATGGGAAATTTTTGTGAGTGAGAGTGAGGTGATGCATGACCTGTGAGATACTCGAGGCATTAACCCTTGAAAGGAGTAGGGTTGGAACCTAAACGGTACGGGGATATATTTGCGGGAGATGAAATGTCAATGTCTTTTCAAATATCTTATGAGATGTGGTGCAGGTGAAATTGGTGGATGCATTGTACTGTGAAGGAGCTAAAAGAGACTATTATCACAATCAAGAACGAGCTAAAAGGGACTATATCACAATCAAGAATGGCAACTGGTTGCCATGAAACCTATTGAGTGTCAGGTGTAGGGCATTTTTGTGGTATCAGAAGTGTTTTTGGGAGAGCTATCCATGATCAATGACTATATTGTCCTTCCAAACCATAGTGCCCATGGCATTGGTTGACCTTGAAACATGAGCATCTGGATTAGCAGAGAGAACTGGGGTACAGTGGTGAAGCTAGTTACTTACCGAGTGAGGAAAATAAGGTAGTGAAGTTGGTTCTTTCCTGATCGCCATGGGCTATAGTAGTGGAGATCATTGATGGCAGGTGGTTAGGTTTAAGCATGCAGCTGCAGTGGTTCCATGAATGGAGGATCATGAATTTAACATGAATATTAATGGATTTGAGGGCATGAGTTTGGATGATCAGCTAATGCTGTAGATGGGGCATTAATAAAAAATGTAGTAAGGAGCTAAAAGGTTATTGATACTATGGAAATGTTAGGTAGGCGATATATGATACTAGCATTGGACATACTGTCAAAGAAGGTGTAATATTAGGATCTGAGGACTCCAAAATGGTACCAAGCATAAGAGGTTGATTGGGGGAACAATGGAAGGAGAGTTGGTCCAGGGAAGAACCGAATGAAATGCTATGGCAAAGCAAGTTTGACAGGCTTAATGGAGGAGTAGGCTAAGGCTAGCAATTTCTATGCTTTTTCTTTCAGGGGGATGGGGCGATCTTGAACAAGCATCACCCTCTATGTTTGGAGACCAAGGAGCTGGACCCCCTCATGGGTTTTGTTGTTAAATATTATAGCTGAGGCCAGCATTTCCCAATTGCAGCTGCACACTGGTGTTGGAGTCCTTTATCCAGCCTTGTTGGGAACAATGGATGATTTCATGATCCCGAGAGAGTTGAAAGATGTTATTGGGGGAACTTTGTAATAAGTTGCAATGATGGAATTGTGCTTCAGGGGCACTTTGGAAACCTGCAAAGGTTGGGAGCTTGACTTGTCCATTTATTATGTTTAAGAGACATTGCAAATGATATCCATTTTGTAATACCATTGGGGATGTCACATCTTGAGTGATAGGGGTTTTGAAAGAGATGCTGAGACATTGAATCCTGTTGATCAAAGGTTGTATTTTTCAAAATTAAACTCTCCGCTGCAAGTTTGGATATTTCTCTTATCCAACGATATACAAGATCTAGTTATGTGCTATCTTGCAATCCGACATGTAGAAGTAGGATCTTATCAAGAAGTGATTAACCAAGGGGCCAGAATCCTAGGATTAGTGGAGTAGGTAGTGTTAGTAGACAATGGTCTATTGAGTAGCCTTCATGACTTGATTGTTAGGCCAGTTGGAAGCTGGATGGGGCATTCATTATTTCCTTATGCCTAGCCTAATTACTTTCCCATTTGAGCACTTGGTTTTTGTGGCATTTTAATGTCTTTACTCCATGATGTTTTTTTTTTCTTTTTGGGGTAGCTCAGTGGTAGGAATCAGACGAGATATATAGCGTTGCTGTTGGGTTTTGTGGCTTTTAAAGGCTTAGAGAGCTAGTAAAATGATACTTTATGGTAGAATATGCACTTCAATATTGTTGACTCACCATGGGTTGGGCGGTTTGTGGCTCTGATTATGTCCAAAACCCTTCCCCCTAGGCATCATGTGCTACTACTGAGAAGGGTTTACAGTCGATCATCCCTTGTCGAGGTCAGAGAGATGCTTGGGGATCATGTTTGTAGGTCAGGAAACTGGTGGTCTCCTTTGTGCGGTTGTAGGCCTGTGAGAGCAAGCGCCATGACCTCAACAAACTTCTACACGACATGTACACATGACAACTACGGAAGCAATCCTGTGGAGGGACACGTGAATATGTGCACTCAGAGAACCCTTTTTGCACTGTAGTGACAAGTGCTAGACTTGCTCTTAAAGGGGAGATTGAAATCCACAGTCTAGGATCTTGGTTTCACTGCTTATTGACCGACTTTGACGAGCCAATCATGTGCCCTTGTATTGAGATTGTGTGTCATGGGTCTTTGTTGGATTGGATGAAAAAATAGCAGTGGATCATGGTTATTGGTCAAGTGGAGTGTCCTAATTGTCGTTAATTTTGACCCATTGGTACGGGCCACTTTTAAATAATTTATTTTTATATTAAAGTTTTTTTTTTTGACTTTTACTAAATTTTCTGAATTTTAAGAATTTACTTCTACTGTAAATTCATAAAAAATGTTAGTTTTGAATTTTTCAAAACAAGGGACTAAGCATACAACCCACACATGTGTGTGCCACCCTTGAGTGGGACATGTGGCCTTGTGGGGCCCACATAAAGTCCATAGGGTGGGCATGCCCCACTTATTTTCTTTTATGTACCACTTTTAATTAAAAGTTAGTTAGGGAATCTTTTAAAATTAAATGGATTTGTTTCCGATTTAAGTGGGAGTTTGTTTTTGACCAAAATAAAAAGATTATCTTTGACTTCCTATAGATTTTCTAAAGAGATTAGGAAGATCTAGATAATATTAAAAGTAATTATAATTCTAATTTAAATAGAAGTTGGACTTGAGTCAAATTACAAGGGGATAAGGCTTCCTAATTTCCACCCAAAATCATGATTATTGATTTGTGGGATGGATGACTCAGATTTAATTCTTCTTTCCCTGCAGATCTCTTAATATCCTAATGGTCAAGCTAAGGCATACCTAGAAGGAGTCCTATTCCAAGCGGGAGAAAGATTTCTTTCTATATAAACCCTACTTAACCTCTTTTACAAAGTACGATAAAAGTCTCTTCTCCACACCCCAACATTTCTCTCTCTCTCTCTCAATTTTTAATCACGTCTCTCTCCCCCCTTTCTTTATAGGGCCATGCCAGCCAAAAGAAAGAAAAAGAAGGCAGCACTTTGAAACTCTAGGTTAGAATTTTACTGGTTTTGAAGAAAAAAGATAGGAACAATCAGCCAAGAGAGAAATAAACGCTCAAGCCTAGCCCTAATTTGATTCTATAGGGTTCCTACAAACCCTAAATAGATTTATATGCTATCTAAAGCTTTAGATTGAAAAGTATTGCCTGAAAAACTTCCCTATCTCAGAAATTCTAGCAAAACCTCAAGGATTAAATCAAGCAGGGAATCGAGTATAGGGTGTATCAAGTCCTGTGAAGGTGATCCCATGCATCATCTACTAAGTCTTCCCGATTGATTTAATTAATTTACAATCATATTTTATATTTTTCTGTGAATTTTCAAGAGAACATTTTGTACGTAAAATTATAGTGGAAGATTGGTTATTGCTCCTAGATGGTGTTTATTTGTTTTGGCAGTAAAAGTAAAGATTTTAGGTTGCATTTAGGGTTTTAATTTTGATTCACAACAGTGTATAGTGGTCCATGTAAGTGGAATTCAGGGATATTGAATAAAAGAAAGAGATATTTTTTAATTTACTACCTTGAGTTGCACATAGCCACCCCTTTCAGTTGTTTGGCATCAACTGCTAACCGGTTAGGCCCAAGCCTGATTCCTAGCATATTTGTTTTTTGTTTAAAGAGAATACCATTTATTTAAAAATTATATGTTAAAGTCACTTACAGTTTCATGAAAAATATTTGGTCATGTAGTTCCCTAGAAAATAAAGTTACAAGAAATTAACTTACAATAAGAGATAGTTTGGAAAAGGGAAATCATATGTCATGATGCTTAAAAGTTAAAGCCCATGCTTTCCTAGTATTTTAATATGAAATTTTGTACTGCAGGATTGTGGGTTTGACTGAACGATTTGAATTGTTCATTTGTGGTCGTGAATTAGCAAATGCTTTCTCAGAATTAACGGACCCCGTGGATCAGGTAATGCTGAAGCTTTGTAATGACGTTTAAGTTTAATGATTTAAACAGTAATGGCATCTTTGCTTGGTATGTTCTATTGCTTTCAACTTCTTTTAACAGCTATGATTATCTGCTTATAAGGTTGTGCTTCTTGGCCGTGCTCTGGGAATGTGCATCCTTTGTTCCCTGTTGTTATCTGGAGTATTGCTGATTATCCTGCATTTATGGCTTTAAGAGCAGCATCTCTCCCATCTTATATTCTGAATATGAGCATATAATTCCCAAGTTACCCATAAAGTTCAGGATCATGTCATAGAATGCCTTCTAAGCCGAGAGAAATGAGATCCTTTTGTTCTTCTTTTTTAATTGGTAAGGTAAGTTTGTTTCTTGAGAACTGTTGAAAACACCATATGAAATTGATTATGCTGAGAAATTAGGCTTATTTTTTCATAGATATAGCAGATTGACACTTCAAGACATATGCTATAATATACTTTACAGATGAAAAGAACAAAAAGGCAAAGCTATCTATTTTGTTCCATGAGCATTAATATGCATAGCTGGATGTTGCATCTGAGGGTGAAATTCATATGTATCCCAGGTGGTTTTTTTTTGGTTATTAATGGGAATGTAGTAAGGTTTGGGCACACACCTGAACTGCATCCTGTAAGAATATCTGCAGCATATTTGCTCATGCAGGTTTAGAAGCTGTTTGATTTCTATTTCTGTGAAGGAACTCGAAAAGTTGCATCCTTGTAGCAGTTTTTTATTCGTTTTTGTGATCCGTGAAATAGAGTGGAAATGGCAAATGCTACTGAATCGTGAGATTAACAAACCTATATGTTTTTTGAATCCCATGAAAGAAGAGAGCACTAAATCATGGGACGAAACCCCCTATCCTTGGAAATAGCTTCTTGGTTTGTTGGCTCTTCTGGCTCAGATGTTGTTTAGTGGATGCTCGTGATATGAAACTTTTCTGCACCATTTAGTTGTGCTTAAAATACCCAAACTCATTTCGGTATGCTGAGATTTCAATTGTCATTGTGATATTGATATTATGCTTTTCCAATATACTCTTTTCTGTTCTTTTTTCTTCGTCATGTCTTTGTTTTGTTTTTCTTGGTCATTCCGAAGCATTTGATTTCTTTGAAAAAGAGCATTTTCACATGAGCATGGAAATTGATGGTTTATGCGAACAATGGAACGACATTCTGAAGTGCTTCGTGAGGATATATAATTATGTACTTTTTCATGCCTGGTCTTCCAGAGGAGACGCTTGGAGATGCAAGTAAAACAACATAATGAAAAGAGAGCAGCCCACTCAGCAACTGGGGATGGAAAAGAAAGAAGCAATGATGATGAGGCATATGAAGTTACTTTGGATGAAGACTTCGTAACAGCTTTGGAGTATGGGATGCCACCCGCTGCAGGAATGGTATGGTTTCTCTCTTGATCTTCTCTTGCCAAATGCATCTTATCTTCCCATGCTGCATGGACACTAATGGATTTGAAATTGTAGGGACTGGGGATCGACAGGCTTGTGATGCTTCTCACGGATTCTGCAAGTATTCGAGATGTCATTGCTTTCCCCATTCTCAAGCTTCAGCAATAAACCTTTGTTTTATTAGGAAAAGAAAGTACCATTCATCTATTCAAATTTTCGAGGTTTTTGCCATCACTTGAGATTTGCTGCTGCGAGTTGCTTCTCTTTCATAAATCTTGTCCTCTGATGAGATACCAAAAGCCAATCCTTTTGTATTCAGATAATCTATTTCTTTGTGAACGCATGTACGACTCTTAATTCTTTGGAAAACTCATTACACAAGTTAGTCATATGCGGCACTCATGTGTAGGATACATGTTTATGGCATATTCGAAGTGTCCAAGATATATTTAAAGAAAAAGAAAAATATATTGGCAGGTTGCAGAGAACCTCTGCAACCTGTTGGCAGAGAACCGCTGAATTATTACTAGCAAGAGGAAAATAGTAAGAAAGTTGACCATAAGCATAAACTCAAAAAGGTCAAAAATGACATGTGCGAAGCACCAGGATAATCTCATGACTCATAGATAGGACTATTGTGGTCAAATGACTCACGTTTCAATTACCACGAAACTTGAAGTATGAGCATCTATATCAAAAATTGAAGCCTCTCAAATCAGATACAAATACTTTCCTGCTTTGTTTCATATAAAGTTCATGGCCTCTCAAATGCCATAACAAATGCAAAATTGTGAAGAAACCAAATTGGTTTGAGAGGGAAGCTTATACACGATTTTATATTGGAAAAATGTGAAAAACATATGTACATCATATATTGCCCTTCACTACTTATTGTTAATATTTTCCTTCTTGTAGTTGACGTCTCAATCCGTTGTTGTCATTGATGTCTAAATCATGGTGAAGATAAATCTGATTTCCCAAACTTGAAAAACAAAATAAACTAAAATAAGTGAAAACCAAAATCCTAAGAAATAAAATTAAATAAAATCCAAGTGAAAACCAAAATCTGAAGGAAGAAAAATTCAGCAAAAACAAAGACAAAAAAAGTAAAAAAAATTAAAAATAAAAAATAAAATGTTGAAAAAATAAAGAAAGGACTCGGTTTCTATGAGTCCATGTAGAAATGAGGCTCCTAAAAATCTATTTTTGAGATGGGTTTTTGGATTTAATTTTTAAGGTCATGTAATCTTTAACATGGAGATCATGAATGTAAAAATAAAAAAATAAAGTTTGAAAATTAAAACATTTGGGCCGTTGGTTTCAATTGTTTTTAGATGGACCACCTATTTGCATCCATCTTTAAGATGGATGATTTATACCTCTGTATTTTTTAAGAGATTTTAAAAAATCGAGTTTTTTAATGCAACCGATATAAATCTACATTTTATCTTAAAAAAAAAAAATTCCAAAAAACTTCTTCTCTATAACTGTCTGTTCATTGACTTAATATCTTTGAATTTTAGTCTAGAGATAAGCACATTAAGTGTTGGAGTAAATTAGAATGCATTAAGTGTTGGAGTAAATTAGAAATCTTGATTTAACAAAAATTTCCAACAAAAAAATAATATATCAAGACAACCATATATCTCAAAATAATAGTTAGATTTGAAGGAAGAGTAACTCAATGAAAAATCTTTTTTCTCTAAGCACAACATCATCATAAATCATCATAAAGAGCAATGATAACTAAAGATTTAGGCAGCTGGGAAATTTAGAGTGACCCTAAAATATCTAGATTTGCTTAAGCATTTTTGTTGATTTGTTTCTCCATACTGAAGTTTGATTAATTTGAACTTTTCAAAAAAAATTTACTTCATTGGAATATAGCAATTTGGATGGACTAGAAATTTTTTTTTTTTTGACAATAATCCTATGCCTTGGGTTACTCGTTGCTTGCTAATGCAGTTCTTGTATTTAATATTGTTGTTGTTTTATTGTATACTCCCAATAATTTTATCGTATATTTTGTTTGATAACAATAGAGTATGTATTGTTGTAGTATTTAATCGATATTTTTTACCCAATTTTTTGTCTCCGACGTTTTGGAAAAAAAATGATTTATTAAAGATGTTTTAGTTTGCTGATATATTGTTATTCCCCGGCTTACTATAGATATAACCCACATTGATGTTGAGAGGGATTGCGGATTGGTTGATTAATGGCTCCATATGACTTAAAGGGCATGAGTTTATACTCATGCTGGTTATTCTTGGGATGAATCGGAGTGTTTTGAATCCATGGATAAAATAGGTCATTTGAGTGGACTCCAAAGGTGAAAGAGGCCGAGCAGGAGTTAGGCTCTAATCGGTCAAAATTGGTCATTAGAGCAGGCCTCTACTTCGATGAGAGAGGCAACTAGAGCAAGCATAAGCAAGCCACTTGAATAACAGAGGCCATTAGAGCTGGTTAGAGTTTATCTGGGACATATTAATTTCGCCCTGGTGTGAGCTAGATGGAATGGACCAGCACCCTGAGCTTGATAGGCATAGTCCTTATGATGGTCATCAATGAAGATGATCCACAGGTATGTGCTCTTAAACGAATTAAGAGTGAGGATCAAAAGGACTTGGTGAGAGATGAAGAGGTCAACAAAAGGTGGAGAGTTTATTTTCAAGAATTATTCAATGACAAACTCAATGAGAATATAGTGGTACAATGAACCGTTGACATAAATGAATGTAGATGTCATAGATATATTTATAGGATTAAGACATCAGAAGTGAAAGAAGCTGTGAAGATGATGAAGATATAAAAGGTTTTAGTGCCAAATGGTTCCAATAGAGGTTTGGAAATGCATAGGGTAGATTAGTTTTGATCAGTTAACCAAGCTGTTCAACAAGATATTAAGAACAAGGAAAATGCCAAACAAATAGAGGAAAAGTATTGTGGTACCTATAAGAATAAATGAGACCTACATAATTGTGCAAACTATTGAGGGTTCAAACTTATGAGCCATACTATGAAGATGTGCGAGAGTGATTGAACAACAGTGAAGACATGAAAAACGTGTATCAGAAAAACAATTTGATTTTATGCTAGAGAAGTTAACAACATAGGCTATTTTCCTACTTAGGCAAGTGATTGCAAAGGCTAGGGCAATGGGAAAAGACATCCACATGGCTTTTATTTGATTTGGTGGGTGTTGGAAAAGAAATACTTCAATGACTTAATGAAAGATATATATGAGGGAGCAACAATTAAAGGAGAGACGAGTGAGTTGTCATAGCACTGTGGCAAGGTTTTCATAGCATTGCATCTCAAGTTCCATGCTGATAAAAATAACCAACAGCGGGTGAACATTTTGGAATAAACACCATGCGAATTTATGGGTTGTAGGAAACTGTGAACCCTCTCACAAAGCTTAGGGCATTCTCCAAGGACACAATCTCCGTTGGTTGATGACTTCACACGTAATTAACTGAGAGTATCGTGTGTCTCCAAATCATTGGCAGGATAACATAATTACATAGACAGTATTTCTTTCATGTGAAAGCACCTTTCGAGTTGGAATATGTTTGTGAAAGATATTGATTCGAATCTAAATCGACTGATCCAGATAAAAAATTGGTGGGAATTGGTATGTTTCTCTGTTGAAACCGGGAATTAGTTGGTTCCCCATGGAGCAAGCCAATTCCCACATTCTATATTAAAATTTTCAATTTTTTATTTTTTATTGGCAAATTCTTTCGGTCATATTGCCAATCCGGATATGTGATTCATGTTAATTTTTATTTTAAAAATTTGAAGATTTAAAATCCTTTTAATGTTAATATTGATGATGGTCCATCATGCACTTTTAGTATGCATGGACCACCACTTTTTCCTCCCACCTTTTTACATTGTCTTTTTGTTTTTTAATTGTTGCTTGGTCATGATGACCTCACCTCCTTGCCCTCGTGGGGGACAAGTGTCCATATACTTTGGCATTACACATTCTCCATGTCTTTCTTTCTCTCTCTCTCTCTCTCTACTTGCCACTTCTCTACCCTCCCTATATTATATTATTTCTCTATTATATAAGCCTTGGGGCAAGAGAGAGAAAGTAGATGAGATGTATAAATTTGGGAGAGTGAACAGAATGCGGTTAATGGCAATTTTCAGCAACATTTTGAAGAGAGATTTGAGGTATTTCTATAAAAAATGAACTCATAGAATTTCTTCTTAATGTTTCATTTTTTTTTAAGTAAGATCAGTTTAATTGTTGTGTTTTTAGAGAGTTTTTTGAGCATCGAACTCAAAAACTTTAATTGTTTATGATCTGGTTGTATCTTGGGGGTGTGCTCACCAGATACCCTACTGCATCTCGATTTTGTATCAGATAAGGGGTGATCAACACTTCGAAGAAAGCGAGCTCCTCTCGTGCTTCCAGATCCTGATCTTTGTTGCCCCATTGTATAACCTCCAAATCCATATTTCGACTCCTACGAGAGGCCGACTGACACAAGGAGTGTTTTGTTTTTCCAGATATAACCTCCAAATCCAGATTCCTACTCCTATGGGAGTCCAACTGGCACTAGGAGTGTTTCCTTTTCAGGTATAACCTCTGAATCCAGATTCTGACTCCTACAAGAGTTCGACTGGCACTAGAAGTATTTCCTTTTCCAGATATGACCTTCGAATCTAGATTCTGACTTCTACGGGAGTCGGACTAGCACTAGGAGTGTTTTGTTTTTTCAGATATAACTTCCGAATCCATATTTCGACTCCTACGGGAGTCTGATTGCTACTAGGTCGTTCTGGTACAATCCAAGCTTTATCTCGGTCTAGGGGAGGTGTTGTCGAAATTTTCCCAGGATGAGAGTTAGTGCAAGGCTGATTAAGTGTAAATTCCACTTATGAGAGGGCAGTCAGATCTATCGATCTTAAGTTCAAGCTATTGGTCGTGAGTTCAAGCTATCGAGTATGAGTTCAAGCTATCGGCTGTGAGTTCAAGTTATCGGACATGAGTTCCAAGCTATCGACCGTAAGTTCAAGCTATCGATCGTGGGTTAAAGCTATCGACCGTGAGTTCAAGCTATCGGTTGTGAGTTGAAGCTATCGGTTCAGAGTTGAAGCTATAAACCATGCGTTCCAGCTATTGACAATTTGTTAAGTTTTCAACCTTGCAACAACCATCACCATTACCCAAAAGCTAACAATTTCGAAGTATTGATCCAATGTGATGGCAACTGGAAGCTCCCTAAAAGCTATGACCCAAGATTTTGTCAGACTAGACTGTTTTTTATGGATTAAATTTCAGACGATGGCAATCGAAAGTACTATTCTTACTTAAGACCTTAAAAGTGGAATATGCAAGAGAACCACGTCATTTTACCCCAAGTACTTCCTT